CTGCTCTTTCTGCCGTCGGACCCTCTGAAGCCGTCATTACGCTCCTGCAGCTTCCACACTGACGACTTAGTTCCTCCTCCCTAATGTGACTGTGTGTTTTTGTGCACGTGTACTTTGTGTGTATTCCCTTCTTTGTGTCATTGTGTGTGTGTGTGTGTGTGTGTGTGTGGCGCTTTAGAGCAGGCTCCCTGCTGACGCTGCGGGGTGCGAGTCGTCCGCCACGTTAGCGCCGGAGTGGCTAAAACTCCATTTTCAGCAGAGTGTTTGAAGCCAGAGGATGAAAGTGGCTGCTCTCTTTTACTCGCTCTCTCTTCTCTGACGCCTCTGATGGACGACTCAGTGGCCGGCCACTTCTTTAATTAAAGGCACAGTCTGACGGTTGTTCCCGCACATTAAAGAGTATTGACCTGATGGAGCTCTGGGCAGATAGGGACGATGTGTATTTCTATTTGAACGTGTGTGTTGTCGCCAAGAGGAGAAAATCTGCTCGGAATCGACACTAACGTGAATCCAGTCCATCGGCTGAGGCAGATATCGAGGTCCCGCCTCTTCACGCTCGAACCAATCGCAAGCCAGTCTCAGCTGTTAATGAATGAGTTTATTTATTTATCATCAATTCAATTTAAAACAGTTTTACAGGAAAAATACCAGTTATTATTCAACTCATGTTGAATAGTAGCCGTGCAGTGGTCCTTTAAATGCATGAATGTTTGACTCCAACGGGTGGATCCTTCTTGGACCAACCTGTCCCAGGATGCATTGCACACAAGCATCGAAGCTAACGAGCGAGGTGAACTGAATTTGGACACAACGTCTGTCTCAGGTGGAGGCCGCAGTCGTTTCTCCTTAGTCTTGTCTGAGTAGGTGAACCCACATTTCACATTTTAAATTCTGGACCTTCAGACATTTACTCCCGTTGTGATTACGTCATGTGACTTTAAAACCTCAGGGCGGCTCAGAGCTTAAAGTGTGAAGGGGTAGAATAGCACCGTGCTTCAGGTGAAACTGACAACACTCAGAGAAACAGCACAAGCTGCTTCAGTTTCTCACGAGTGAAAATGCATCATGAAATTAAATGTTGCCTCTTGTTTGTGTGGAAACTAAAGAAACGCTCCCTGGTTTCTGAGCAAAACCAAAACAAAAAAAAGCTGATTTAACCAAAGCTGGCGTTAAAACCCAACGTGTTGGGAGTGAGCTTGCATGTTTTTTCTCTTCCCCCCTCTTCGGATATTTGTAGTCGACATTAACATGCAGCCACAGCAGCCTGGTTCACCCTCTGTGAGGAACTCAACATCATCTGAGCTGGCTGTAGCTGCGGGCGAAAACAACAAGGCTTTAAACGCACGCTGTCGAAGAAGAAACGCTTTCAGTCTCTCAGAGCTCATTCTAATCGTGTGCTTCCTGTTTTTGTTGCTTTGTGTGTGTCTGTGTGTGTGTGTGTGTGTGTGTGTAAATCCCTTGCTGTTTGTGAGCTGTGCGACACTGCTGGGTGCTCTCTGTGTCTGGATATCAGGCACCCAGGGATCCTCAGAAACAGGCATTACCAGTTAATGCACCTCTGAAGAGAGCATCTGCACTTAAGGCAATTATACCACAGATGGGTGTGTAGGTGTGTGTGTGTGTGTGTGTGTGTGTGTGTGTGTGTGTAAGACGGAGAGAAAAGAGTGAGGGAGACAGATGACGAGGATGAGAGAGGAAGAGCCTTCACGTAACATTCGATCTGCGTTTCCTTCGTCTCTGAACCAAAATCTGTTTTCCTCACCTCACTCCTGGGTTCAAAACGTTTGAGGTTTATTTTCAGGACCCTGCAATCACACCCTTTTTTCCATCAAAGCCAACAACACACACACAAACACACACACACACACACACACACACACGTTTCTCGCCTACCTCATTTTTATAGAATCCGTAGTGTCTTTTAAAGTAGGTACACATTCGTGTCTCCCGTCGCGCTGATTCTTTCCAGGAACCCGAATTAGAAATCAGCTGCTGTGAACAAGAACTGGTCCAAATAATCTGCTTCTGACCTGAAACGTTAAAAGATCGTGCAGAAACAAACAGTCTGGTTTGTCCGACGCTCACGAGTTCGAATGTACGAGTGATGATAAAGTCAAACATTTGCTAAAACAACCACCGGTGACTCTCCTGTGTGTCAGTGAACGCCTCACAGTGGCCGTTATCTCACCTGAAGCGTCTCCAGGGTTATTATCTCCAAATATAATATTCTGGTTTGATTCCACTGAGCTGTCCCGTGTGTCAGCAGCACCTCTCCCCCCCTCCAGGGGACAACAGGACGGATAATAACAGACTGGACCCCCCATATTGCGGGCAGCCCCATCCTGTGATAAATAAACTGCTGGCTACTCTGACCTCTGGCTGCACCGAGCGCAGAGAGAACATGTGCATGATGGGACGAGCTGGGCGGTGGTGGTTCGGGGGGGGGGGCGGGGAGAAGGAGGAGGAGGTATGTTTGTGGTATGTTTCTCCCCTCCGCCGGAGTCAGCGGTCCATCTCTCGCTGCAGATTGCCTATGACAGCGGCGCTATTTCAAGTCGGGGGTTTGAGCTAAATTGGAGTGAGCAATACCACCTGTGCCTGCTGAAGGGCGGCTCTGGTTCGCGCTGTTGCTCCGCAGAGAGGAACTGGAGGGGGGGGCGGGGGGAGCGGAATGGAGGCCCGGCGAGGGGAAGGGGGGGGGGGTAAAAAAGCTGCTACCTGCAACCATCAAAGCTTCTGTTTCACATGCAATCTGCCCGGCCGGCTCCCCTGTGAGGAGGCGAGCTGCGAGCAGAGCTGGATGTTTGCTCGCTCGCTCTCTCCACAGGTGTGTCTCTCCCTCTCTCTACTCTCAGTCTTTATCTCCCCCCCTCTTCTGCCGTCCTCTCTCTTTTCTCTGTATCATCCATGGCTTCCACGTCTCCTCCTTCCTGTCCCCTTTTTATCCACGTTGTAGTTTTAAATCATTTCACAGAGCTTCACACTTTTTAATTTAATGTAGAATAACATTGCAGTTGTTAATCAGTGTGGCCCTTGTAATGTTTTCAAAGAAGCTGTGAGTTGAACTAAATAATAAAATTCAACTATAATAAACTTTGGGATATGTTCTAAATTAATAATTAACAAGAACAAATGATTTAAATCCACACAACTTTATTTGTCGAAATAATACAACAATAGTGATAATCTGTGACACGATAAACATCTGCAGTATTTACAATTGACATTATTTTCTGTGAATGAAAATGTGCGTCTGCAAAATAAACACAAAACACTGTGAACTGAACTAAGAGGACCAGGAGATTGAGTAGAATAATTATAGAAGAATATATCTCTTCTTCTGCAGGAGATTCGATCTCGGGGCCTTTTCAAAGCACCTTTAATTGTTGAAATTGAAAATATATATATTTGTGGGTATCATCCCGACAAGTTCAGTTCTCGTGGCACAAACTTCCACAAGTGAAAACATCCATCACAGACAGTTTCCACCGCGTCGTCGCTCAGTTTCTCCTCCAGATTGGCTGATGAGAGAAAACTGGGATTGGAGGAGTGGAGGCTCCATCCTCCTCCTCCTCCTCCTCCTCCTCTACCTCCTCCTCCTCCTGGGCAGGATACAGTAGGCATCATTTAGTGGCGAGAGCGGTGGAAACAGCGAGGGGTTGGCCACAAGGTCGCCACACTTACTGCATGGCCGAGCTCATTTCCACCGCCGTCCACAGCCCGGGCTTCCCCTCTGAGAGAGAGAGAGAGAGAGAGAGCAGCCGGTGAAATGGCTCATTCACTTTCTGATCACAGCCCGCCACTCTCTCCCTCACACACTCAAACTGACACACTCGCTGCACAAACACGCACACACTCGGTCACACACCAGGCTGTCTTCTTCTTCATCGTGTGGTTTTTTTGCTATTTTCGTCCCTCGCTTCCCCCGATCTTCAGCTCCGACAGCTCACTTTGTGATCGCCGTCACCAACCCAGCTCACCAGACTCCATTTTAAAAAAAAAAAAGAGGAGTTTTTTTTTTAGGGGCTTGAACGTTTCCTGCACAGAAAAGTAGAACAACCCAACGTGCAGTTGTAGTAATCTGGTAAATACAGATACTGTAATCGTACTTCAGAGAGAAACTGTACAAACTGTAGCTGTCGTTTACTGGAAGACAGTTTTTTTTTCACAGGAACACACAAGCTTGCATCTTCCACACACACACTTTCTCTCACACACACAGATTTATGTTCAGGCAGCACAGAAGGCACGGCCGAGCTGAACCAATCCGCTTTTGTTGACTTGTACCGCTGCCAGCTCTCGCTATGAAGACGTCCCATCGGCCAAATGGTCAAATACCTGAGACGAGCAGCGGGAGACGCTCAGGTTGAGCTAAAGCTGAGACTACGAGTTTACCCATGAGAGATTTGTCCACAGAGAATAAATAGAATTAATATAAATAATTCTAGAAACACAGACGGACGCATATTGAATGTGTTGATAGATGTGCATCAGTGATTTAGTGACATTTACTTTAAAGAGAAAAGAGAAAACACACGTGACTGTAATGGTACCAAAGAGTTTTTTTTCGTCCTCCCTCCGAGCTGAAAATCGCTCTCAGACCGATCGTAAACTCGTCTCCGATACAGTTTCCCCGAGCGACCCCAGTGTCTCATCCAGGGATCGATAGCACCACACGCCGCGGCCCTTTACTCACACTTGAGTCTGGCAGGGAGGGATTGCAGCGAGCCGCCGGGTCAATGGCCGGGTCCTGCTCGGTTGATGGCCGTTCGTTAGAGAGCGGTCGGCGCGGCGGAGTTAACGGTGTCAGGCCTGATACTCCCGCTGGGCCGCACTCTCCTAATGACCGGCCGATCGATAGCCGTCTGTCCTCGGTACTGACCAATCAAAGTGACGTCTCCTGTTGACACATGGAGCTGGAGAGGAAGGTTGAGCTGTGTGTAGTAGTGTTGGGTTCACTGATGCATTCAGACTCTGATAAAATATTATTGATTCATTGCTAACAGCAGCATTTACAGTTTGTGTGTGGGGTTGAGGGGCCGTAAGAACAGAGGAGGAGGAGGAGGAGGAGGGAGGAGGAGGAGCTGCGTCTTTATGTCCAACGTGAATGAAAGTCGTTTTTTGAGTAATTATTTTTGTCTTGCAGTTTATTTTTCATAAAAACAACAACTCTGCATCAGGTTCTGTTTTGTTTCTGTGACAAACTCACCTGAGCCTCTGCTTTGTTTCCCTCTTTTCTCTTTCGGGGTGAGGTATTTTTATCGGCTCCGTGGGGTTTCTTTCTCTCAACCGCACAGTTTGTGTTTCTGCGTCTCTGTGCTCTTGTCAGATTTTGGCTTTTCTTATTTTTTTGCAAACAAACCAAACTTAAAAATTATTTATACACAGAAAGGGCCAGGATCTGTTCGGGGAACTGACCCGACCGCGTCGCCTGTGATGCCTCAAAACGCCAAATCCGTTCCTGGAATCCATCAATCTCCTCGTGGCTGTGCTGCATCATGGTCTGGTGTTAGGGTGAGCCGAGGGATGGGGCAGGAAGTGGACGAGTAGTGGACATAAAAGAGGATTCAGGCCACGTGGTGGCGGCTACACTGGAGCCTCAGTCCTCTGTGTCTGTCGCTGAGTCGCCCCGTCCGTCCATCTGTCCCAGCGCCCTCAAAGGGACGTTTGTCCCGGCACGAGGGTCGTTCAGAACACACACACGCACGCACTCTTCTGACTGGACACATGGACATTCGGTGACTCTGAGTGAGGCACTTCAGGAGCACTTTAATCGCCTCGCACGATTAGAGGACTTTGTTTTTAACGTGGAGACTCATCGAGAGACGTTCAGACGACAGAAGAGACGGAGAGCGAAGATTCCACTGATCTGGTTTTATTGTGAAGTCGATTACATTTAAATAACTGATCGTCCCTGTATCTCCGCAACGTCAGCTTTTCATCCGCAAAAGAGAACTTTTACTTTTTGATGCAGCATTTTTTTCATTTCGATTTTTTTTTGAAAGTTAAATAAATTTTTCACACAAAGCACAAGAGCAGTCGCCAAATGTGGAGAAACCTGAACACGTAGAGTATAAAATACTCGGCAGAGACAAACAGTAAAAACAAGTCATACTTTTCCAGAAAGGATAAAAAGACGAAAATGTACCCGAGTAAAAGTAAAAGTACTCATCATTCACTGTACAGCATGTGAACAGTATGTACACTGTGTATTTTGTTTAATACAAGAATAATACAAACTCTCGTATTAATACAAATGCTGCAGATGAAAATAAATCTGAACTCGTGTCACATAGGAGATTATCCGGGTCGGCAGGAACGTGTTTTTGTTTCCAGAGCTTCAACCCTGTAGCCGAAAGTTCTACTTCTTCCACGTGTGCGGCTCCTCTTCCAGTTTCACGTCCGTCACGTGTTAGAAAACCTCGTCGACACGTTATTCCCCGTTTGAACGTTTTTTACGATCCACAAGGTTTTTTAAAAAAAACAACGATGTAGAAAACTTGCAGTTACATAAAATGCTAAGTCCCGCCTCGGCTCTGCCAGAATACCTCCAGAAACCGAGCGTCTGAGAGGAGCCGGAGTATTTTCACTGTGAGACGTGACAATGTGACATCACGCTGAGGGGAAATCAGCACGAGCAGATATATACTCGAGAAAGAAAAAAAAAAAATCTACCGCCTCTATCCCTGAGCTCCGCTGACAAAAATGCTTTAGGTGCTGAGGATTATGGATTAATCTATAATAACTAGTGAAGGGAAAGAGAAAAGGAGAGAGGGGGGAAAAAAGAGAAAGAGTCTCCGGAGCCTGGAGTCTATAAAACCACCAGGAGAAATCCTGCCTCATCATCTAACGCTCCCGCTAATATTCCCAAATTATATCATTTAGACCTGTATCAGCTCCGCAGAATTAATCATCATTTCTCTGACACTGGCCGTCCCCAGAGTTCATTACATAAACCACATCTCCTCCTCTGCTTCCTACAACTTGTACACATCCACTTTCTTCTTCTTCTTCTTCCTCTTCTTCTTCTTCTTCTTGGTCCCCTCACCCAGCCCCACCCCTCCGCTCCCTGATAATCTGTTTATCCGTAAGTGTCACATTACATTTGCAAAGCAGCTGGGGGGACCAGTGCCACCGTGTACGGAGGGGCTCGAGTGTGATTACCCGGCCTCATATTTGGCGCTCGCACTCACACTTTGATCTGAACTGTCTTCATAATCACTTCAAAAAGTCTTCCTGAGAGCGTGAGGGCTTTACAAATGGGCTTCCACACACACACACACACACACACACACTGCTGCACTCTTATTCTCTCTCTCGCCGAGTGTGTGTCAGTGTGTGTGCTCGGTTATTTCTACTTTTGCATGTGTGTGTGTGTGTGATTGTCCTCTGTCCCTGCTGTTGTCCATTTGTCTGTTTGCTCCACTTTAAATTAATTAGCTCCACCGTGTTTTCATTTCGTTTTTCTGATATTTAAGCAAAAGCTAAAAGATTGGATTTCTACATTTTGGTGCAGATCCAGGATTGTTTTCACTTTCTCTAATATTTTTTCTTTTTGATATTTTTCTCTGAGAATCGTTCGTGGATCTGAAAAACGATCACACATGATATTTACAAATGTGCAGAATAAGTTGAAAGATGGAGACGGTTGGACTTGGCCTCGGTACCGAGTGACGTTCCAGTTCTGTGTTTCTGTGTCTGATTGTTTTATTGGATTTTATTCTATTTATGTTTTTGGGGTAATCCGTCCGTCCATCAGTTTGTCTCCATCCTTTTGATTCAGATAAACTTTATCGATACGACTGAGTCCCGTCACTTCGGTGCCTTGCTCTCCCTCTGTGATGGATCTGATTATCTCAGCAGCTACACGTGTCTCACTCCGAGTGTTTCTACCATCAGGTCCAGAAGACGAACACAACGTTTCAGCATATTTCTAATATCCTGCCCCCGATGTGTCTCGCTGTCTCTCCTCAGTCCCACCTGAGACTCTCTCTCTCTCTCTCTCTCTCTCTCTCTCTCTCTCTCTCTCTCTCTGCAGTGGATGGATGGATGGAGGCGGAAGCAGAAACGGTGGCACCTACTCCTCCCCCTCCTCCCCCCTTCGTTGTGTGCTTCAACAATAGCATTTGCATATTTTTATACTCTCTCTCTCTCTCTCTCTCTCTCTCAAAGAAAACAGCCTGAAGCGTGAATACTCCAGCAGCGGGCGTGCAGAGGAAAAAAACGGAAGCTGGGGAGACGGCGTGTCCGCTTTTGCTGGGGGAGAGAGACAGTACACACACACACACACACACACACACACACACAGCGTGGCCCTTACCTCCAGAGGTTGAGCATCAATGGGAGGACTCTGGGAGGAGCGGGTGTGTCACTGGAGGACCGAAGGAAAAACAGAGACAACCATTAGAATTAGATTTGTGACTGAAGCATCATGAATCTGCATGTGAGGAGAGTAGCTGAGTACGTTTACTCCAGAACAGGTAGTAGAAGTATTTTTACGCACTTTGTACTCCGCTAATATAAGTTTGACTCAGATCCCAGGCTGAGGAAACGTACTTGTGACAGCAGCAGATACTGAGCGGACACAAGAGCAAGTAAAAGTACAAAATAATATAAAAATAGACTAAATAAAACACAAAACAAAATACACACGGTCCACTACAGATTCTTTTGAGGCTAATAGAAGTTAAAGGTTTATGAAATACTTCAAAAGTAAAATACGACTGTACTGATGTGAAATAACATGATCAAATATAGCCTGAAGTATTTTAGTTGTAGTACTTTCAATACATTATGCTGCAGTTTCTTAAGTGACTTTTTGAATTCACGGTTTAAACTTAATTATCGATAAAATACGTCTGATCAGTTTCCTTTTCTCCGTCTCGTTGGTTTTTCTGTGACTCAGCAGGATTTTTTTGTGATTTCGCAGATTGAACATGTTTGCGTAACTTCTTTTTTTATAGTCCACTGTGAAATGAACCTTTTTTCACTTTACTGTAAAACAACTAGAATCATCTCTGCGTCGTCCAAACTCAACCAGAAATAATGATCCAATCATATATTTCCATCACCGTCCAGCGAAAACCACATATTGACTCTGAGTTTTCCAGATTATCCGAGCGTGGTTTTTCGGGTTTGAGAAAAAATGTTCTACTTCTTAAGCTAAATAAAAAAAAAACGTGCTGCCAGAATTTGCCATTTTACATATTTTATAGCATCTAATCTTCGAGAACTCTGATTGAAGCCGCTCCTCTTTTGCTTTTTATATTTATAGGTTATTCTGTTGTTTTGTGACTCAAGTGAAAGCTCTGATTACGTCCACGAGTCAAACTTCATCTCATCATCTGTGACATTTCCAGTGTCTGTTCTCTGTGAGTCTCTGTTCGAGCCACTCACTCCAACGTTTGTCTGAACCCAGCTGCCTGGTTTTCTGTATTTTGGGGCCTTTTTTCGTAGCAAGTTCATGCAAAGCTTTTCCGTTCGCTCGCTCCAGACTGTTCTGCTCTGTGTCTGGCAGCTCTGCGCCGGGGAACATGATGTGTTTTCTGTTTGTTTGGAGAAAGCAGCAGAAGAAGAAGAAGAAGAACTGGTGGCATTAGAACAGAGACGTTAATGAGACGTGGAATAAATTCGGCAAAGAAACTCTCACCTCAAAAGACAGAGATAAATAATACTTTGTATTATATTGAGTTAAAATGGCCACTTGATGGTCAATAGTTTAAGTTCAATTAAATCTGAACTTAAATCAACATTTTTCTGACTGGAGTCTGGTTCATAGCAACAAAAAAGTGACTCAGCTTGAGACTAGCTGGTTTCTGTGGTCGCGTACGTTCCAGATGAGCGTGTGAATCAGAGTCTAAATAAAGATTACGTCATTGCTCGAGACTTAAATTGTGCGAAAACACAAATCTGAGCTTTGAAAAAAATATGCACGGAAGCATAATTCAGCTGAGAACAGACTTTTAAACATGAGACGGTGGATCTCGGCTGTGACATCGACTCCTGTGGGTTCATTTTATCTGCAGCCAGATTCCTGCGAGAACAGCGTTATGTAACGGTGTCACTCTGCGGCTCGGCTGCAGGAGAACACACAGGCGGGATAAATGTGGGCTAAACTAGGGTTTCTGTGACAGACACTGACGGTGCATCGAGACGTGCGTGAGACATTGTTGGGGGGATTTGTGTTTGTGGACCACTAATCCGAAAAGGTCCACGACAAACACAGAATTTTAAACCCCACCCCCCACCCCAGCCGCAGGCGTAACCGCCGAGAATTGGCCATGCTTTGCTAAGCTTTCGTCTCACACCTACAATATGAAGGTTACGGTCTGAGAATAACAAGACGCGCGGCGCTGTGCGGAGGAGAGAGAACGACGTGCTGCATGTAATTTCATTTTACATGACACCCTGCATTATCTCAAGTTCACTCGCACAAAGGAGGCGTCCCTGTGGAAGACCTCGATTTGGAGGTTGTGGGAACATAATACCAGCTCTCAGTCTTTTTCTCCCGCTCCGACAATGGAGACATCCACACGAGCACCGACGCTGTATTGAGACAACGTATATTAATACCAGCATGTGCGGAGCCATATGTTTTGCGCTGAAAAGTCAGAAAAATGTGTGTTGTCCCAGAACTGACGACACATGACGTGTTGGATGTGACACTTCTTCTCAGGCAGTGTGAGAAATGCTCTGAAAAAATGTGAAAAGTATTTATATCGAGACAGAAAAACCTGAATCCTCTCGAGAAACAAACCCTGTTAGTCGTTTTGAAAGAAAACACATATATTCAGCACACATGTTCAGTCACACTTCCTGGAATGACGACCTGCCAAAGGCTGAGAGGGAGATTTGATGTGACAGTCCATGCTGAGTCAATTTTCCAACATGGCTGAACAACAAAGTTCTTTTGTGCTCTTCTCTGTGCTGCATTAATTCTCATGGCTGGTTCGAGCTAATAATTCCCTTTCAGAGTGAAAAAACCAAAAGCAGAGGAAAGAGTAGAATAAGAGCGAGTCGTCCTTCCTTCCTTCCTTCCTTCCTTCCTTCCTTCCTTCCCTGACTGTGAGATGCACTACTTCCTCTCTCAGGCCTGCTGGTGAGTAATGTGCGCTGGGTGTGAGCTCAGAGGGGTCGACGGCCAGCGTGCACTCCCCCCTCAAAGCCGCTTTTGTGATGCTGCTGGCTTCAACGCTCACACCAGGCCTGGGTGAGGAAGGAGGGAGGGAGGGAGGGAGGAGGAGCTGGCAGCTGAAGCCGAGTGTGTGTGTGTGTGTGGATAGAATAATCGTACGACTATGTCAGGTGTCTCTGCTCCAGACTAAGTCGAGGAGTGAAAAGGTCACGAATAAATGTTTTAACGACTCGTGTGAGCGGGAGGAGCTGCGGCAGCGCGCATTAGAAAAAACACAATTCATAATTTAACGTGAAAGGTGGCGACTTCAAATGTTTAGGTAACATGTGGTTGAGTCTTTAACCTGCTCAGAGCAAACCAACGGGCGAATTTATCATTTAGAAACCTGCGGATTTAACATGGAAACTCGTTGCAGGCTCGTTTTATAGTAAAATAAAATGCACAAAGGCATAAAAGTACATCTAATCATTATAACAATACATAGAGAGAGACGTGTCAAGTAAAAACACGAAAACTAAACACATACAAACAATATTAAATGCAACAACTTTACATGTTTAGTGTCTAATAATCCTTGTTTTAATAGAATTAAAGTTAATTGATGTTCGTCCAGATGTTTCTGCTGCTCGATAAGAAGAAAAAGATAATTTCGTAAAAAACACTGTGATAGCTTCTAAATTCATAACAACCTCAAAAACTGTACGATATCAATAAAATACAAAAAACCATGACCTCGAATCATCAAGAGCTAAGGGACGGCGTAAAACGATCACATGACCCAGAAAGAAAAAGTTTTTAAAATGGGTTTTTTATCTGATATGAGGAAAAGATCCCCAAGAGTCAAAACCTGGAGTTCTACGATATGTAAAACCTTAAAGACGCCAACTTAGTTTTTATTAAAATTATAAAACTAAAGGTTGAAATAAAAGTATTAATAAAAGTATTGTCTGAAGACCGTCACGGTCACAAACCCGGCTGATCTGTGTGGGTGTGGTTTGACCACATGTCGGTGACTGTGGTCTGGAAAACCAGTGAGAGGAACGCAGGAAGAAAAAAATCCAGAAATGTCTCGTGTTAAATCGAGCAGAGGAAGAAGAAGAAGAAGAATTTTTGCTGCAGGATCCAAAAACTCAAACTGGAGTCAAAGTGTTTAAAAAGTAAGAAATGATGACGTTTAAAGTCAAATCTGATTATCACTGGAAGTAACACGAGGACCAACGCTTCAGCGTGTAACGGCAGAATCATGTGTTCACCCCCCCCCCCCCGCTGCTGCTGCTGCTGCTGCTGTGGCCGCATGTTTGTACGTCATCCAATCGGTGTGTGTCTGAATGTGTGTGTGTGTGTGTTGCCCACGGAGGGGGAGGAGGGGGAGGAGGGCGAGTCATCTACAAGATGTATGTAAACCCATTTCCAAACAAATGGGCCTGACTGCACGGCAACGGCGAGAGGTGCCATAAGCGTCCGGCGTGCATAATGCCCGCATGAATCAAGACTTCCGGGGCCGCGGAACGTGACCACACAAGCTCTCGTGTGAAAAGCACACGTCAGCCGCGCGCACATGTCATCAACCACAGCTCCGAAGCCGAGACACTCATCATTATCGTACGCGCCTTGAACCCACAGCTGGCTCGCCACGCTCAGCCCATCTTGTTTATGCGTGTGTGATGGAGACGTAATTCAATATAATACGTGCATTACGTAATAGAGGGGTGTCAACGTGTGGCCTGAGGACCCACAGGGGCCGTGTGGGGACTTTTAAAAGACGTGTTTGACAGGTTTTTACATCAACAGTTGGATTCAAATGGATTTCTCTCCAGTTTCTTGCCTCGTGTGAGTGAATGGAAGAAGAAATCAGTCCAGAGCTCTGACATAAAAGAAACATGGCTTCCAGTGACGTGACGTGTTAGCGAAGCTGGTCCGGGTGTTAAATCTGATCTCGGTTACTTAAAACATTAAGTGTAGCTGTAAAATAAACCCTGAAACCCGTAAAACACAGAAAGGCTGTCCGCCACTTTGCTGTTACGGAGTTAACTTAACTCTACGCTCTGGTCGACCTGCACTGGTCCCATCACAGCTGTACGTTTGCTGCTCGTTTGCAAAGCATCATGGATCATCAGACGGACGTGGGTTCGTCATGGCAACAGTCTGCGCCGTCTGTCTCTTTGTATACGTCACACCTCCACACGTGTGTGTGTGTGTTATCATCGCTGTGTAAACTCTGCAGCATTTTCTACGCA